GCCAGACACTTTCATTAGGAAAATTCAGGATCCAGTCCAGTACACAGGTGAAAAATAAAATCACAGAGATAATTAACCAAGCTAGAATCCTACAATTGGGCATTATGGTTTGTAATGAAACATTTTTTTCTCTCTAAAATCACCCTCCTTTTATCAGAGGTAGCCAAGTTAACACTAATTTATTGTGTAAGTCTAGTTTCAAAAAATTTGGCCTGTTACTTGCACAAGTATGAGAAGAATAGTAATTGATTATGTAGGCGCTTTTAAATCTGCTTTGCTGGAATTCCATGGGGCATCTCTGGATTCAACTCCAGTTAGCCTCTCGGGGCCAAGAAGCCAGACCACAGAGTTGCCATCAGTATTTGCCGGAGGTACCTATCTACTCGGGTGAGCGCCTCAGGTTCTTGAGGTTTCTCAAAATGTCTTTAGATTCTTCCTTTGCCATCTCCCAGGAAAACAACCTTTGTTCCTTACCTGGAGAGACTACTGTGAACCATGTAAGTAAGATATCAAGTTGTTTTTCCAAGGGGCTTCTGTTGGCTTCCACAGTCAATCTTAATTCCTTGAAGCTTTCTGGGGACACCCAGAGTCTACCTGTGCATGTCTCTCGCAAATATGACATTTCTGGCAAAACAGAAATGTAATATAACTACATTGCAATTGTGTCCTGTTATAAAGAGCAGATTCTTATTGAACTGCGGCAAGCAAACATATTGCCAAGAAAATAATAATACTCACTCATTCAGGGTCTCCAAACTTCTGGAAGGATCAGGTAGGGAGAAAAGTATAAATGTTTCAGTATTGCTTACAAAAGTATAATTTACCAAATTGCTCTAAGTCATAGGTTGTTTAAGAGAAAACAAATTTTCTTAAATGTGGAAAACAAAAAAATTAAAAATGTACAATGTTTCCAACAAAAATCACAATCATCCTTAGTTCCTTCAGTCCCATATAATTAACTCTTGTGTACCTTGATCCTTTATAAAGGATATAAAAATCACAATCATCCTCAGTTCCTTTAGTCCCATATAAGTAACTCTTATGTACCTTGATCCTTTGCCAGAAGCTCATGAATCTAATTATTCCTTAGAGCTTTGTAAAAATGTATCCAGTTTAAGGTATGATCAGAAAATTCTGTTTTAGAATAAATCAGTCCTTTTAATGGATCTTTCCAAAGGTGAAAATATTCACAAAAGCATCAGAGTAAAACAGTGACTGTCAATGACAACATTTACAATGACATATTTATAGATTGGATTATAATGCAACTGACAAATAATTTTACTTTTCTCTAACATAACATTTTAAGAAAACCAAAATTACAAGTGAATATTATATCAGGATGTTGCAGACTCCTGGAGATTTTTGTATAATCTCCAGCGTGCAATTTCCATTTAATAATAAGAATATGTATACACAAATACAACATAACTATTTCCTTAGTTGGCAAAGCTTCCTGTGCAATGTAAACATATCAAATAGGCCTAATTAGTTCAAAACCTGTCCCTCGCAATGAGAGAAAAAAATGAATCCTTTGAGGCGTTACAGGGACCCACTGGGACAGCCCAAAGCCAATTCTAGGTTAAGAAAAGAGTTTCCTATTAAAATTTGAACCCTGGAAAATTTGTCAAACACACTTAACCAAAAAGATCATATATTATTATGAAACAATATTAAATTATTCATGTACTGAAAGTTACAATAAAAAGATATCAAATAGAAATGCAGGTAAGCAAAACTTTAGTTCTTAGGATTCAGAAGATTGTTTTCTTAAGTAATCGAGGACCTAATCAAGACAATAGAAAACTATTTTAATAAAACATAGAATCTCCATTTTCTAGGTGGAAACCTTCTATAATATCTGGAGTAAAATAAATATTTTTAAAAATACTTTTTGTTTTAACAGAGTGAAAAAGAACCAAACATATTCTGCATTAGCTTACTTTTTATATTTAAATTTATTTTCTTAATTACATTTTAATCTTATTTAGCCTAACCATATAAAATCTCCCTACCCTCTACAACTTTCTTAGTCTCTCTTAGTTTGTCTTGTCTTACTCATTCAGAAATAACCAACCTTATTTTAGGATAAACTTCGTTCCTTTTGATTTTTAAAAAAAAAAATGTATTTCCATACCTTATACCTTCTATTATAAAAAATATACAGTTTCTTTCCATTTTAACTAGAAATCTTAACTCTTAGGAACCTCAATTTCTAGTGACAATTAAAAAGACCCAGTCCTGGAGTGACAGGTTAGCTAATAATGTGGCAAGACCTGGCTCCATTTCCGGGGGATGGGTCATATAGGGGGGAAATCATTAATCGTGGTGACTAAGGGAGTCGGGGTCATGGTCAGGGCTGTGGTCTTCACTGATTGGCTGATGCTAGGAGAGTTGTGGTTGGTCACTGCATTTGGTCCTGACGTCAGCTGTGGCATCGCTTCATCCGGTTTCACCAGTTTTCTGGAGCTAGAGCTGAAACACAGCTGAGGCCTAGGTACTATCTCTAGTTTGACCCAAATTCTGTCTCCGTGGTCAACAGACCTGAGGCTTTGTTCCTGTGATGATTTAATGTTGATCAGAACCTCATTGTCCTGAGAGCATAGCGATCAAGGGAGTGAACATGCAAGGGAGAAGGAGGCAGGTCACTCTGGGTGCTGGATTAGCCAGTTTGAATCAGGAGGAAAGAAAGGAGAAAAGTTCATGTTAAAGAAATGAAGTTTCCACGTGGTTACCATGTCAGAAACATAGACAAAATTTGTTTTCAGTTGTGTTCTGAAATCATTTAGCAGATAGATAATTAGACGGAATACATAAAAGCTCTCGTTTCTCTAGTAGCATTTGATACTTCTGCGCTGAAGATGTGACCCTATGACTATGTTAGCAGGGAGGCATCCTGAAGCCACAGAATAAGCCAGTGGTTCTCGACCTTTCTAGTGCCACCACCCTTTAACAGAGTTCCTCATGTTCTATGTGGGCGTATCTGCATGTGGGCGGACCCGCCTGGAGACCAATAGAGGAGCCGTGTCTCAGTTCCTAAGACCATCAGAAATACGTGTTTTCCGATGGTCTTAGGCGACCCCTGAGAAAGGGTCGTTCAACCCCCAAAGGGGTCGTGACCCACAGGTTGAGAACCGCTGGAATAAGCCCTGGCCTGGGGCCAGATAAGCAGGTCGTGATCCTGACTCACTCAGCTACTAATTGGTCGTCTGAACTTCGTCAAATCATGTCCCCTCTCTGGGCCTGGTTGGTTTCCTCCAGGGTTAAAAAATGGTGGGGGTTGAATGGGCTGATTTCTGGGATTTATTCCAGCTTTTGCCTATTACAGTTCCTTTATTCTCAGGCAAGACACTGCTCTAGGCCTTGGGCTACTACAGTGAACAAAAGAGACAAATGTCTGCCCTTGGGGAACATATGTTCTAGTGGGAGGAGACAGATGATGAAAAGTAAAGAGGCTAAAGTAAGTAGATAGATGCCAGCTAGGTAGGTAGGTAGGTAGGTAGGTAGATAGATAGATAGATAGATAGATAGATAGATAGATATGGAGAAAAATTAAGTAGGCAATACAGGGTGGGGTGTGCAGGTAGCAATAATAAAACAGGATGGACAGAGAAATCTCCACTACGACCTATTGGCCTTTGACAATACAGAATTCAGTGGTCAGGTCCATCAGGTAAGGCTGTGGCCAGAAGCAGAAAATAAAGCAGGAAAGTACAAATGCAAATTCCTTACAAGCCCCAAAAAAGTAAATCAGTCAATTGATATAACTGAGAAATATATCGGTTACTCAGCTCCATCATTACTGTCATTTAAGATTTGCATTTAGTGTGGCCAAATTTGCTCTCTTCCAAGAGAAACTGGATATATGAATTTTTATGTAAAAGTCCTTTTTTTAAAAAAAAATAGTTTCCTACAGCTGTCATAACAAAATACCACCAATGGGGTGACTTTAAAAAAGGAAATTTATTCTCTGACAGTTCTATGGGCTAGAAGTCTAAAATCAAGATGTCAGCAGAGATATGCTGCCTTTGAGACTCTGGACAGAGTCCTTTCTTGCCTCTTCTTGGCTTCTGTGGGTGGCCAGCAATCCTTGCCAGTCCTCCACTTGCAGCTCCAGTCTGAGCCTCACACACTCTTCTCTCTTCGTGGGCCTGTGTCCCTTCTTTTCTTTGTAGAAGGACACCAGTCATATTAAATGAGGGCCCATCCTACCAGTCGACCTCAGCTTAACAATTATATCTGCAGTGACCCTCTTTCCAACTAAGGCAACAGTCTAAGGTATTGGGGGTTGGATTTCAACATATATTTTGCAGGGGAGACACAATTGAACTCAAACCAGCTATCAATCAGTATGCATTTGTTAAAATACTGCATTAGTTAACACTTAGTAGGGCAAATAAATCATTTATGTGGTTCATAGGTTATTCACTTGTGAGCTCTGGGCCAGAGATGAAGGAACCTACAGAAAGGACTATAAGCTTTATAAGAGCAGACATGGCTCTCTGTTCACCTCTGTGACCGAGCATTTAATGTAATGCTTGCCTAAGTATTTGCTGAAATTATAAGTGAATAAAAAAATGTGAATGAGTGAATAAATGAATGAATAATGATATTTTCCTTATGTACCCAAATATCTGGAAAGGTATTCTGTTACCGGAGAGAAAAACCTAACCTCGTTGACAGTTAATCAAAACTGTACTCAATGTTCAATATCCCACAGGTTTCTATCAAAATCTGAGCAGAGCTGTATAAAATAGCACACCCCCTCCTTCCGCTGCCTTGGAATTCTCTGCTCATGAGACTGGAGCTTAGGTCTGAGATGCTGCCCAGCCACCCTATTCTGTCTTCTGTTCACTCTCTTTTTTTAACCAATACAAACGTTTATTTAACAAAAGTTCGATGTGAAAATGAACACTGCTCGATTTTTGTATTGTAGTAAAACAGGTACTGTGGAGAGGGTACAGGAAGCAGCTGATGTCTCCGGTGAATACAGCCATTCTTCATACTCGTTCCAAGGTTTCTACCATGAGGATGCTATTTCCTTCTATCACCACCATTCCAGTATTGTTCTGTTGCCCATTAGTTGCCATCTCCACACATTCATCTATCACAAGATTCATAAAAAGATAAAATCCCCACAATATTTCTTGGACATGTCTGCCACCATTTAATTTCAACAATAACTTCTTGTCCATACATTTTTTTTTAACTTGGGAGGGCGAGCTTTGCTCACGGTGTCTAAGCGAAGCTCAAAGATAACTCCAAACGTCTAATTTTTGCTCATTCTTAAATGCCAATCTTTCTTTTTCCGTGACAGAGATTGCTTGCGGTTTACCCAATATCCAGTCTTCTCCCTTTTCTTAAAGGCAATTTGCACAGCTGATAAACAACATTCGTAAGCCCAGTTCAGTAACAGAAATAGAATTAGATGTAAGTGGCAGTCTTGGGGCAAAGTTTCTGGATAGCTCTTTATGTTCTATTGAACTATCCTATTTTCTTCTTGAAAGGTGAGTGTGATTACTGGCGCAACAACAGCAGCATTTGGGACCATAAAGCTTTTAGCACTAAAAGCTACACATTAAGAATGGTGGAATGAAAGAAAGTTGGCTTCCTGCTGATATCTTGGAGCCCCCGGACCAGCATCCAACAGCTTGCTTCCAGGCTTCATTTCTGTGAGAAGCACCACCCCCGATGTGTTTAAACAATGTTATAGGCAATAATTCTGTTTTCTCTTGGACCCACTCCTGCACTTTCCAATCCTGCCCTGTATTTCAAAGAATGCCACTTCCCAGACTCTCTTCCCTTCTGCTCTCCAGAGGCTCAGCTAATGGGAGCCACTGGGTAAATACCAGAAGACATTTCCTCATTCCACAACCTCGCAGAGCAAACTTCAGGGCTTGATCCCATCTGTCTCCTTGTGTTCCTCTCCATGGGAGGACACACCACGTACGCCGACAGCTCAGACGGGGTCTGCGCAGGGTTCGTCGGCAGTGACTCAGGGGTCCTGGCTTACCTCACGGGGTGTGGCCAGCTCCTTTACTGTTGTTCCGCTATGCCACCCCTCCTATACTTGTTAGGTATAGTCCATTACAAGAATAAATCCAAATGTATTCATAGGTGATCACAAACACGCAAAGCGTCCAGAAAATTGTTCAAATATTCATTTATTATTCCCATAGAGGTTTCTTTTTAGACCATACAGAATTAGCCAAGGGTTTACAATGAAAAGTTCTTTTTCCCTTTGTACTCTCTGCCCTGTCCTTGGGGTATCTGTGATCAAGGCTAGCAAGGCCTGTCCCTGTTTCTAGCCCCTCGAAACAAAGATAGATTTTAAATCCCTCAGTGTATGGCACCTATATAAGACAAACAAAACTCTCTTTGCTTTTATTGATGACCTCTCATGACATAGTTTCTGTGTCTGCGTGTTCTGGAAGGTGTCCCCTCCCCTTCCAGGGCAACAATAGGGAGGAATAAAGAAACGCCAGACTCCATCCTGCTGTAGAAGGGAATAACCAATGGATTAATTTTATATTAACAAAGAAAAATCAGAAAAATAATTTTTAAAAAAGTTTTACAGTAAACAGAATTGGAAAACACAGAGCTGAATAAGTCCAAAGGATTTCTAACACAGATCCTAATAATAAAGGGGTATTTTTTTCCTTTCATCTTTCTCTAGATAATTGTTGTTTTATAAATAAATATGTTTCAACATATACAAACAGATAAAGATAGGCAGATAGATAAACCAGCATGCCCCCAATTATCTATGAAGAAAGAAGCCTTTCCTAACACGGTAAACATGCATTTCGGGGGTGGGGAGGAAAGAGAATCTTGTAGGTGTTCTTTCTACAAAAGCAGTTCTTTTTCTTCATATAGAAAGTGCTGCAAGGGGCATACAAATGCTGTGAGCTGAAATAGAAACATCAATACATTGCTTCTGCTCAAAACATCTCTGCCCAGCTCACTGATCTCCCGCACTCCGGAATAACACCATGAATCTTTGAGTTAAGTGAAAATAACAAATGACATTTGTTCCAAATAATTCCTTATATTTTTAGCATGCTGTTTTTTTTTCTCTTGCTATGAGACAAAGAGATAAGTTGACCTGGTGCCTTTTAGCATCCATTCTCATTTCTCAGGCAGAACTGGGAGAGTGCAGGAGTCTGCACATCAGTGGGCTTTTCTTTCTTTCTTTCTTTCTTTCTTTCTTTCTTTCTTTCTTTCTTTCTTTCTTTCTTTCTTTCTTTCTTAAAATATGTTTTTATTGATTTTGAGATAGAGAGAAAAAGAAGGAAGAGAGAGATAGAAATATCTATGAGAGAAAAATATAGATTGCCTCCTGCACACCCCCACCCTGGGGATCAAGCCTGCAACCCCAGAATCATACCAGTGACCTCTTGGTACATGGGATGATTCTCAATCCACTGCGCCACGCCAGCCAGGTGACATCAGTGAGTTTCTTACTGGTAGTTAGAAGTGTTTGCTTTGGCACGGTGATGTGCCCTAAACCATACAATTGCTTTGAAAAATAAACACAACTCACTGTCCCCCACACCCCCACACATCTTTTCCTTCTTTGATGAAAACCCAAGTGAGAAGAATGCATACGATTTAGGTCAGTTTGCTAGAATCTAAGACTTGACCAGATGCTTGTTCTCTGTCACACCTAAGCATGCTCAGCTCTGAAAGAAAGAACTTTTACTCTCAATATGCATTTATAACTGGGAAATGACGCATGATCTACCATGCTCACAGCGAACTTGGGTGCTCCTGAGGAAAAACCCGTCTCTACTACACATCGAATCGCAAACATTCATCTGGGGAGGAGCCGCAGCAACGTTATTCAGCCCCTCAACAACATGAAGAAAATTAGGGAGCCCAGGGCTGTCCTGATTTTAGCACTAGAAGTCTCATGTGGCAGGAAACCCCGCAGTCCTGGGATGGTTGGGTATCCTAAGATTAGGTCTAGATTTCAGGTGTTCTGATTACTGATTTATGAGGTTTGTCCCACACATTTTTGTTTTTACTGAGTATTAGTTGATCTACCATTAAAGACGACTTTAAAGTAAGTTTAAATGCTAATTATTCATTCCTTACATATTTATGGAATACAATAAAAATTTTGGTTTTGATTTTCTGCATACATTTTTTAGAGGCTTATTCCCATATAAGACATGCCTAAATGTTATTTTAATTCATTCTCTCTCCTCTCTCTCCTTTCTTTTTATTCCTGGAAAGATATAGATTTGTGTTGTTATATATGGCTTAGGCTGATAAATCAGTAGACATTTCAAATAAACAAACAAAATGAATTGGAGAGGTTATAAGTGTTTGCAAGTGTCACCGTGGAGACCAGAGAATGGATTGTCACCATGGAGACGTGCATAAACACTGCCTGTATGATTTTCATGTGAAATCAGATCTAGAGGAGATTTGGGAAGGAGGATATACAAATGGAGCTGGCAGTTAGGGTGGTCGAGTGAGTGTGTAAAGCAGCTGGGGGATGTTAAAGCGAGTTGACAGCCTGAAATGTTTCTGTGCTCACTATTGCTCCATCAGTGAGCAAGAAAAAACCTTCAAGGAAAAGCCTAAAGTTTAGAGGGTGAGAAGAGTGTGTTTCATCAGCTACTAATGAAATGCTACAGGATTGGAGGTGATTTCTGTCCACTCTTTCACTTTTTTTTTTTTTTTTTATCCTCACCCAGGGATATTTTTCCATTTTTTGTACAGATAGAGTGGGAGGGAGAGAGAGGAAGGGAGAGAGAGAGAGAAACATCGATGTGAAGGGACACATCGAGTGGCTGCCACCCGCATGACCAACCAGGGCTGGGGACAAACTGCAACCGAGGTACGTGCCCTTAGCGGGAACCGAACCCAGGTCTCTCCGGACCGCAGGATGACGTTCTAACCGCTGAGCCAAACTGGCCAGGGCCACTCTTTCACTTCTTTGTCCACACCGGCTCTGTCACTATCATTTGAACAAGTTCTATAGGGTTATGATGTGATAAGAATGACAGCTAGTTTTTATTAAGTCTTATCACATTGCAGAGACTGTGATAAGCCCATTATGGTTATTATCACATTGAATCTCAACACTTCTAAGGAAATGCAAATATTATTCTCATATTACCAATGAAAAAACCAAGGCACAGAGAAGTTAAGTATCTTACCCAAGGTCGCACAGCTAGAAAATTGTGAAGCCCGGATTCATATCAGGCAGTCTGGTTCTTAAATACTATAATGAGAAGATGAAGTCCTTGCTTTTGAGGCACTTCAAATCTAAATGAGGAAATAGAGTTGAAGGATAACACTCAGACAACAATATGTATTCCTATAGATACGCACATTTTAGCTAATATTTAATTATAGGTTAATATCCACATGAATCTTATTCCTTTACTGTCTCTCCTCTACAGATAATTGTATCATTGCGGTTCTTAGTTTCAGAGAATAGAATCCACATTAGCTAACTAAAGGACAAAAGAACTATATTCAAGGGTATCCGTTTGGTCATGGAACAGAAGGGTCAGCGAGTCATACTTGAAAGCTATAGAATCCAAATTTCACTCTATTCCTATTTCAGTGTATACCCACACACTTATCAGTAGACATTTAAATCAAATTTACCTTAAAATGTCTAAGCTTTTAAGGTGGATTGGCTCAAGGGTTCGGCTCAGTTGGAATAACACTGGCTTCTCTCACTAAGCTCTAATTCCTCACAGCACACCTGTGCACAACACCCATGGCCACACTGTTCTACCGGCTACAAAGCTCTAGATAAGGGATTCCCAGTGATCTCAGGAAGCTTTGTGTTGGACCAACCAACCATCCCTGAGAAGCTTCGTCCAACAGCAAGGATCAACAGAATTTATCGTAGTCTTAAGAATGGCTGTATCAGTAATCTTAGATAAAGTCCTCTGAGTCAAATTTTGTGGAAGATTCCTTTAAAAATTATTGATAAAATAATAATAATAAAAATAATAACAATAAAACAATCGACCTTGATTTTGCACTAAATATTCAGCAGACAGCAAAGTATACAGGACCTTTTTTTTTTTCCCTGAGGGGATGCAAAGGAGAGTGTAAAGTGCACTGGATTTGTACTAAGGTGGAAGTTGTGTTGAATCTTAAATTAGAAATTTGAGGGTGGTGCCTGGCCCCAAGCAGACATCCTATAACTGGTAGTCCGCGTCCTCAACCACATCTAACCTCACGGTCCCTGGCCCC